TAAGTGCTTGCCTGGCAAGTACAAGGGCCTGAGTTCAATCCCTGGTTCCGCCACAAAAAAAAAAAAAAAAAAAAAGTGTTATATGATTTTCATCAACACAGTTCATAGAGGTTTTATCCTTTTTTTTTTTTTCCAGTTCTGGAGATCAGACTTGGGACCTTGTGCTTGCCACGCAGGCCATGACTAAATAAATATGATCAGGTGTTCAAAGTTTCTCGTCCTTTGGTCAACAATTGGTTAATGCAAACCCAGGAATTACAGCACCCAAAGCAGTCTCAGTACCTGTAGTAGGGTGTCGAGTGGCACGGCATCAGCATGAACACGGAGGCAGCGGACAGGTTGGCACTCCCACAGCCGACTTCCCGGAGGTGGCCCACAACGTCCAGGGTGCCCCGCTGGTGGACCAGGCCCGTGTAGAGGGCAAGAAGTGCATTGGACAGAAGCAGGAAGCCAAGCGCGGTCTTCCTCCTGGCGCGCAGGCGGGCAAGTGAGTGTCCTGCATGGGCAAGATGTGCAGCTGTGGCCAGCTGCCCCAAACAGTGCACACCCTGCCGTGGTCACAGGCCATGCCATGCATCTACTCTCACCAGGTCCTGAGCTTTGGACTGTGGAGTAGAGCACTGCACGCCGAAGTCTGAGGTGGAGTTAACCAAGGGGACTTCCAGAGCAGAGGGGAGTTGGAAACACAAGGCTGATGCTGGAGGGGCTGTGAGAGAAGCCTGACACGGTGTTTTCCCAGGGAAGGGGGCTCAGTACATGCTTAGACGATTCTGGCTAGAGTCTGCCCTCCTAGGATACTTGACTGCACAGCCACTAACACCGGGGTGAGATCAGGCTTAGACGGTGTGCTCCAGCAGCAGCTGGCATCGCCACAGGGATGCACGGCTGGGGTCCTGAACCCGGGAGCACCAGGATGGCACCACTAACAACCCTGAAGGCACCCCAAACACTCAAACTGCTTGTTATCTGGACCTACAAGTTATCTTCTGGGTTTTGGAGGGGGGCAGAGCTGGGAGTTCTGGCAGCCTTCTGAGGTCTACCGAAGTGCCCAGGCAGGACGCCAACCTGTGTGAGCCTCCTGCACCAGCCCTGTAGAGTCCTGGGACTACGGGTGTGCTCCCCATGCTTGGCTTCATGATACCTAGCCTATATAGTGTCTGAAGGACTGCAGAAGAAAACACAGTTACACCAGGGTGTGGGCTGGATGATCAGAGGACCACATACTACAACATGGCCTTTATACTCACGCTGCACTAAACCCATCCTATCCAGCTGACTGGTCTGCTAAAACCGGCAGGCTTGAGAACAGCTACCCCTCGAAGCCAGTCCTTACGCCTTGTCACCTAGTGCTCAAGCCCAGCACAGGAAGATATGCCTGTGACTTTGCATGCCACGTGCGCTACTTCTGGTCTCTCGGGTGCTAAATCCACGGTGTGTGGTGCGGCTGGCCAGCTCCTGAGCTGTGCATCACTTGGCCTGAGCACACAGTCCCAGACCTGGCAAGGGCACACGTGAGGTTCCCTGCTGGACGAGGGATGACTTGTAGCTGTGAGCAAGCAGGCAGGTGGGCAGGCAGGCAGGTGAGCAGGCGGGCAGTCTGATCTGTGCTCGGTGCTGTAGGCAACACTGCGTGGTCCACGTGCAGCCTGCATTTGCAGGGACTATAGAAAACCTAAATTTTCCTGAATACTGAGCTGCCCTCTAGAGAAGTTCTGTTCTTTACTCCACAGTACCCTGGTGAACCCTTCTACCCCATGACGTTGGTTTCTGAGCCTAGGTCAGTGCCTTAGGTAGGCCTCGGACTCGTGATTCTCCTGTCTTAGTCTCCCCAGTGCTGTGATTATGGGCAAGTACTGCCAGCCTTGACTACCTCTCCCCTTTCCTGTGGTACTGGGAATGAACTCCACTTGGTAGCAAGCTCTATCTCCAGAAGTTTCATCATTTTCAAAGCTCAAATTTGCCACCCTGCCCTCTGCCTCCTGAGTGCAGGCCCTTCCTCCATTGGGGCAGCCGGTGGGTCCACTTGGCATCAGTACTAATGGGAGGAGAGGTAGGGCTCAGCTTGACCCAGACTGACAGCAGCAGTCTAGGCAGGAACTGCAGGAGTCCGGCTGCTGTCCCCAGAGGGAACAGCTGTTTGCCTCCTGAGAAGCCGAGGGCCGGGCCACGGCAGGCATCCCTGGGGGTCCCCAGCAACTCAGACAGGAGCTGAAAGATCTCCAGGCAGTGGCCCCTGAAGCAGAGGCAGGAGGGACTCAGAGGAACAAATGCTTAGTAGGATGACCACCAAGCTCAGTATTTAGGAAAATGGTAGCTAAATCCGAGAAGCTGTGCCCTCAGAGAACCCTGGCTCCACGGCGGTGTAGACAGTGGGCTGAACCCCGGCTGGCAGGCCTCCCTGGAGCAGAGCCTGGTTGCTGGGCCAAGATCTGCTGTGCTGGGTTCCCCCCGTTCCTAACCTGGCCTGGTCCTGATGCGTGCCAACTGAAACACAGGGCAGAAGAGAGAGTTCATGGGCAAAGTGGGGCTTCAAGTTCACCTGACAGAAAAAGTGCTGTCTAAGCCTAACGCTGCAGAGCCCAGCAAGGCAAGTGTGAGTGCAGGAAGACCCTGCTCAAAGGCCACCCTCGGGGATCATGGTTGTTTCTGTTCTGGAACAGGACCTTGCTAAGTTGCTAAATGCAGGCTGCCTCAGCCTTCTGGGTATAAGATAACTGGTGTGTACCACCATGCAGACTAGGCTATGTTTTGATGTGGCTGTGAGAGTGGCTGAGAGTTGTCATGGTTACCTGACCAGGTCACGAAGGTCAGAAGAGCAAAAGGCCATGATCCAAGGTGCAGCTGTCTTCCAGTGCCAGGCAGGTGGCGGGAAGAGCCAGGCTGTCCACCCTGAGCTGCTCTGGCTGGGGTTGGCGCCCGCATGCAGCAGGCTTTTGTCTACTCAGAACCACCGTCTGCAGGCCTGAGCAGCCACCAGGGGAGCTGGGTGACCCCTGAGGGCCGGGTCTCCACCCTGAGGCCAGGCCCAGGCCACCAGGTCAGTTGTGTGCCTCTTCTGACAGCCTGGCCACCATGCATCTTGTAAAGAAAGAGTTCCCAGAGAACTGAGGAAACGGACTGAAGCAGAAAGCAGACAGAGCTCCTAGGTTAACCCTACACGTCTATCTGCTACTCCTGCACCACAGTGGATATAAGGGTAACTTTAAGTGCTTGTAAAAACTTTTTAAAATCCGAAGCAAGGGGCTGTGGATGAGGTTCAGTGGTAGAGCGCATAATGGGCACAAGGCCAAGGTTCTGTCCCCAGCACCTGAATAAATAAATAATCTGAAGTGAGCTGGGCATGGTGGCACACACCTGTTATCTCAACACTCAGCAGGCTGAGGCAGGAGGATTTCTTCAAACCTGAGACCAGCCTGGGCTACAAGGTGCATTCAAGACCATCCTGAACTGCATAGCGAGACCCTGTTACAACAAATGTGGAATGCTTGGTAAATGGGCCCACGACCCCTAAGATTCGCCACGTGGCTGCTCGGTGTATGTGTAGTTGGTGTGGCGTAAGACAAGGAGACGCAGGCTCCGGTCTGGCTCTGCAGAGGCTGCCTGCGCAGACAAATGCACGCACGCCGCAGAGGCCACCCCGGCGATGGGCTGGGAGAGAGCAGTTAGAGACCCAGCTCTCCCTGTCCCCTTCCACCAGTCCCTGCTGGTTCCTCCTTTCCTTCTCTCCCAATGCAACTTTTTAAAGGTCATAGTATTTTAAGGAAGCCAAGAATCATTTATTCTGAATTAACCTTGAAGAAAGTTTAAATCATAGTTTTCCCAAACTAATGTAAAATTTCAGATTTTCCTGATATGAGTTAATTTTTTTTTTAAAGTCACAAATAAGGGGCCGGGGAGATGGCTCAGTGGAATAAGCGCTTCCCCGGTAAGCACAGGGCCTGAGTTCAATCCCCGGTTCCACCAAAAAATAAATAAATAAATAAAAGTCACAAAAAAACCAGCAAGGAACTCATGGAAAAATGGAGAAAGAGCCAAAAACACAGTCATGGGAGTGAATTATTTTAAAAACTGCACTGGGAACCTCTTTACCATGACGGCACCAAAGATGAAGAATGAAGCCCCGCCCCTCCCTCCCAAAGCTGAAGCCAAAGCAAAAGCTCTGAAGGCCAAGAAGGCTGTGCTGAAAGGCATCCGCAGTCACAAAAAGAAGATACGAACGTCGCCCACCCTTCGCTGTCCCAAGACACTGCAGCTCTGGAGGCAGCCCACATACCCTCAGAAGAGAGCCCCCAGGAGACACAAGCTTGACCACTCTGCCGCCATCAAGTTCCCCGACCAGAGTCGGCCATGAAGAAGATCAAGGACAACAACACATTCGTGTTCACTGTGGATGTCACAGCCAATAAGCACCAAATCAAACAAGCTGTGAAGAAGCTCTATGACATCCCTGTTGCCAAGGTCAGCACCCTAATCAGGCCTGATGGAGAGCAGAAGGCATCTGTTCGACTGGCTTCCTATTATGATGCATTGGATGTTGCCAACAAAACTGGGATCATCTAAACTGAGTCCGGCTGGCTAATTATAAATACATACTTTTTTTTCTCAATAATCATCATCATCATCATCATCATCATCATCATCATCATCATCATCATCATCATCATCATCCTGCACTGGGCTAGGGATTTGGCTCGGGATTTGGCTCAGTGGTAACAGTGCCGACCTGGCAAGTGTAAGGTCCTGAGTTTGATCGCAGTAGCCCCTACTACATTGCACTAGTCTTAACTGGGTAAACATTCTGCGGATAAAAGCACTAAAAACTATTTTTGACAGCTATAAACATATTTTTTCTTTGTGACAATGAGGGCCCTTGTAGTTCAGCCATAAACTTGAAATGCCTATTCTAAAACAGTCTTTTTACTTTTTTAGTGAGATTCCTAAGAACACTACCAAATAGTGGTTGACACTGGCTCTTCAAAAATGTAGGAAAAAACATTCATCCTTTTCAAGCTGGTTCTATATAACTGTTTTTTACATTAAACAAAACCACTTACCACACAACACCATACAGAACGGTAAGACTGGATAAATAAATCTGAATTCTTTGTGGCCCAACATGCTATAATAAAAAAAAAAAAAAAACAAGAGAAAACATCTTATATCACAAGGTTTAAATCAATGTATTTCAAATGAAATTCCAACAATCTGTTTCTGATTATGCAAGAGTAAACTTTTTTCTTTCTTTTTTTTTTTTGGTACCAGGGATTGAACTCAGGACCTTGTGCTTGCCAGGCAGACGCTTATTCTACTGAGCTATCTCCCCAGCGCTATGACTAGATTTCTTGATCTAGGTGTCATCCCTCCTCTTAGTTACACAAGGACTCCAGTGCGTCCCAGCTAACAGCTACACGATACCCTGAGGCCCCAGGGGTCCAGGAGGTGACCCAGACTGACAGCAACTTGGCCCAGGCAGAGGTTCTGACTTTTCAGAGCAGTGAGGCAGGGGCAGCAATGCTTTGGACATCAAACCTGATGTGGCCACGTCCCAAAGGTCTGATGTACTAAATATGATCAGGCTCTCAAGAATTCTATTAGCAGCCCTGTTAAAAAGCACTCAAGGGCCGGCCAAATAGCTCAGCAGATTCAAGTGCTGCAGGTAGGCACGGGTGGGGTGGGGTGGGCCAGGGTGGGGGTGGGGTTCTGATCCCTGGGCCTACCCTGTCCCTGGGGCACAGTGAGAAGCAAGTGAGACTGGGCACAGTGGTGTGCACAGTGAGAAGCAAGTGAGACTGGGCACGGTGGTGCGCGCCTGTACTCCCAGCTCTTGGGAGGCTGTAAACAGGCAGATCACTCAAATCCGATCTAGTAGTGAGACCCTGAACACCCTGTAGACCTTTCCCTAAAATTAAAAAACAAACAAAAAAACCCACTCAAATTTGGAGTAAGGATGCAGACCTTTTTATTTCAAAACAGTACTTCTCTAGCCCCTGGTCTGAAGTTTTGGTACCTTCTACTTCTCTGGCGCAGTCAACAGCTATCTGCGGCACACTTGCCATGGGCTCCCCCTGCTACTCGGGCGCAAACGGCCCTGGCTCCGCCCCTTAGGAATGATGTGGGAGCCTCGTCACTCTGAGCCCCCTGTGGTTGTTCTGCTCATGGTACAGGAGTCAGAGGTCGATTTTCTTCTCTTTCTTCAATGATGCCAAGGACCTAAGCTGGCCTGGACGTGCCCGACAAGTGCCCCTAAGCTGAGCTCACCCACCCGTCCCGGCCTCGCCTCCTGGCAGTGTCCTGAACCCCAATGCTGGGCTGCGGGTCTTACCTGTACACGAGCAGTGTCCACAGGACAGTCACCAGGAGCGGCATGGTGTGCTTCGGGGCACAGAGGCAGCCGTGGAGAAAGAAGGGCAGGTGGGGGCCCAGGACGGCCGGGAGCCCTTGGCTGAAGTACCAGTGCCACGGGTGGGAGCCATAGAAGCTGCCTGCGCCCTGCAGCACGTTGAACCTCAGGAAGTTGAGCTGCACCAGCGTCCACTGTGGTGCGAGGAGAGATGGCGGTCAGCCCTGGGCACTGCTCTATGACCTGGGACAGCCCGGGACTGGAGGCACAGCAGGGGTGCCTAAAAACCAGGCTGCGGTGTCTACTCGTAGGCCTGCCTGCACACACGTGGAATCACCCTTGTCTGCCTTATAACTCCTGATGCATTCTCAACTTGTGAAACGCTAGCATGGAGACTTGGGAGTCGCTTCCCAACAAAGAACCAGGGAGGCAAGGTCCAGAGCTCATCCCAGGTCTCAAAGCCACTACTGCAGAGCTGGGCTGCAAACTGTGGGTCTACAGCCCAGAGCAGTCAGAGGGAAGGCAAGGCATGGTGCAAGCCTATAACCGCAGCATTCTGGGAGGCTGAGGCAGGAGGGTCAAAAGCACAAGCCCAGCCTGACAACTTAGTGACTCAGACTTAATCTCACTAAAAGGTGTTGGGGGCTGGCAAGGCTGTAGTGTAGAGGCCTAGCACTGTAAGAAGGAAAGTGGGGAGCTGTTACTTATGGTTATGAGACAAAAAAATCTCAATCTAAGGGACTAAGAAATAGGAGATTTTGATTAATACGACTTGTGGACGACGAGATCAAATGAAGTCTTTAAGAAATTTAATCTTGGGCCGGGGAGATGGCTCAGTAGAATAAGCACTTCCCTGGCAAGCGCAAGGGCCTGAGCTCAATCCCCGTTCTGCCACAAAAAAGTAAAATTAAATTAAAAATTTAATCTCGCCTACTGTCCCCCAACAAAAGCGCACGTCTGCTCCCTGCCCTCAGTGGGCTCTTCAGAAACCCAGGAGCAGCACGTGGCAGAAGCACATCGAGCTGGGCCTGGGACACAGCTCATCTTTGTGACTAGATCCTGTATTCCTTTTAGAGGTTTGTTCTGAAATACTGGGGGATTAAAAAACTAAGTGTGAGCTCTCAGTGCCATTAATGATTAGAATAAAAACTGCTGCTAGCTTAATATATTTGTACTTACTTGGCCAAAAAAAATACGATCAATTACCAGAGACAGACTCAGGGTTACAAACCTGGAAAACAAAACAGAATGGCAATTCAGTCTGGTCCTGCTGAAGTCTAGTGCTGCCTTTGGTGTCCTGCAAGAAGGCCCTGAAGAGGCTCCACAACCTCCCCAAACAGACTCACACAGCTGAAAGACCTCTCCTTGAGAAGACGGATTTCAGCAGACTTGCTACAATAAATAGGCCTGATGTGCCACCTGCTGGGGCCTCGCCTTCCCATGCTTTGCAGCGTCTGGGTTGAGACCCTGCACACTCCGGGGTGTCTGATGTTTCCTGAAGCCTCTGTGAAGGGTTTGCTATCCTTGCACCTCTCACTGCAGACTACAGGCTACCTCCAGACTCTGCGCCTGGCTCTTCCGTTGGAGGCTCCGTTCCCATTCGCAAGGGCCGCCAGGTATTCATTTCCCAAGGGTGCTGACCCGACACGAGAGCACAGCTCACACCCAGCCCACAAGCATCCACTTCCTAGAGCCTCTGAGTCCCCACCACATCTACACCCACACCCAGCCCGCTCTGCCTGCTTGGGGCCTGGGCCGCTAAGTCAGTGCTGGGACTGCAGTGCGCACCCCCAGGCTGGGCAGGAGCTCTGAGGGCAGAGGCATCGCACGCTGCCACCAGACTCACACCCGCCCTCACTTGCAGCCGCCAGACCAGCCCAGTCCCTCCCAGCAGCAGCTCTATGCTTCTTGTCTCCTCTGCTATGGACAGGCGACATCCCAGAACCAGGTTCCCAAGGTCCTGTGGGAAGGCCTGTTAAGAGTCTGCACGCGGACACAAAAGCAAGCATCTCTACGACACAACTGAGAGATACTTTGGAAACAAAGCAGGGGGCAATTCCAAGCCAGAACTGTGAAGACTCAAGTAAACAAATTAAAGTATAATCAGCATTACAGATGTAAAATACATCTAGAGATGCTCTATTTCCTCGGCATGAGAGTGCTCACAGCGTCAGAAGACACAATTACTAACTGAAGGCTGGGCCTGGGGCACACGCCTGTCATCCCAGCACTTTGGGAGGCTGAGGCAGGAAAATTGTGAGCTCAAGCCCAACCAAGAAACTTAACAACCTGGAGACCCTGTCTCAAAATAAAAAATTAAGAATGGAAATACAGCTCAAATACAGCAAAGGCCCTGAGTTCCTAGCGCCACTGAAAAACAAAGCAGGACTCCGCATGCCGAAAACCCAGCCTTTTTTACCACCTACTGTCTACAGTAAACCACGCAGCCAGGCTTACCCGATGGGTAAAAAGCTGTGCAGAATGAGACGGCGCCTGGCTTGCTCCCGCCACACGTGCCTGAGGAGCAGCGGGACCCAGGGGATGAGGGCCGTGGGGCGGATGAGGCACGCCAGGGCCACCAGGGAGGTGTACTTCACACTGCACAAAGGGAGAAATGGGGTGGTCACATGAGGTTGCTCAATCCAGGTAAGTTTTCTTTTTTTTCTTGCAGGACCCTGCGCATGCTAGGCAGGTGCTTAATCTACTGAGCTATCTCCCTGGCCCTAGGTAAGTTTTTTTTGCTGAGTATGCTGGCACATGCTTGTGTTCCAGTTATCTGGGAGGCTGAGGCAGGAGGGTCACAAGTTTTAGGCCAGCCTGACTCGCACAGCATGTATGAGGCATGATCCTGTCTCAGAACAAAACAAAACCAAAGCCCCACACCACCCTAAGAAGCCATCCCTTAGAAGGGTGAGGTGCACCCTACTGTGGAGGCAGCCGCATTATGGGTCGGCCCTGTGGTACTGGCCAGGCTGAGGAGCCCAGACACAAAACCGAGCTGTCTCTGTGGCTGCTGAGGTTGGAATGCTGTGTGGTGACCGGCCGGCCAGGCCTTCCCCATTGAGCCACCCCCAGGAACAGGGCTTTTACAGATTTCAGAGTTTTAGAAGCTGCCCAGGCAGGAGCTTACTGTCTCACGCAGATGCGGCGGAGCCCCTGGGGCGCAGGGTGAGATCCTGACCTGGATGAGCCCTCGCCTCTGCCTGCCTGAGCTCCACCAAGCTTGGCCCTCTCCCCCACCCCGCCGCTGCTGCTGTTACGGCCAGGTTCTACAGGCGCATCCTTCGTCTATCCACCTGACCCCCGAGGACCTCATTCCTGGGGCCTCTGCAGTGCTGCCCTGGCTGCCCGCCTGGGATGAGCTCGCTGTGTGGAGGAGGGGCTGCAGCCACAGCCCAGCCTCGCTCCTCTCAGTCAAGGTCTTGCTAAGCTGCCCAGGCTGGCCTTGAATTTAGGTGCCTCCTGAGAAACTGGGAGAGCATGCCTGAGCGAGGCAGAGGTCTGGCTTCTTTCCTTGCTGTGCCTCCCAGCAGAGCACCCTTCTCTTTGGTGGTGCTGGGTTTGAGCCCAGCTTTGCACGTGCTGGACAGGCACTTTCCCTGAGCTACATTCCAGCCCTGAACATCTCCTGGAGTGCACTACCCCAGCCAGCACCCTGTGCTCCCTTGGACTGGGCTTAACCGTGCAGATGCCCCTCCAGCTGCCTCCATGCCTAACTCTGCTGCTCTGGACAGGGCTCCAGCCCCTCCCAGGGCTTCTGCCAGGTCACAGAAGGTGTCTTCACTTACCCTTCCCTCCATGCTTGGCCTGCCCTGCAATCTGGCTGCCAGAGCTGGGAGAGCACGTTGGGGCGCTTGCTAGGGCTGGGCCTGTCCTCCCACCCCCCCCCCCAGCCCCCTATTTCACTACAGATCCCCAGGGCACGGGCAGCTGCACCCTCCCCTGACTATGATCCTCTGTTAGTGCCTGCAGCTCTGGACAAATTCCCACTCTGAGGCTCTCTTCACCGCGAGCTCAGTGTTCTCTGCTTCTGCTGGAATGAAAACCCCTGAGCAGGTGACAGGTGGCTTCCTGGAGGCCAGTGTGATGGTGGGTGCATCTTGCATGCACAGCTGTTAACAGCTCTACAGCTCACCTGTGCACAGACTTGGCACCTTCCAAAGGATAGTAGGAAAGGGCAATTGTAGTAAGAGCAGTCTCTGTGGTGTTCGTGAGGGTCCGGGTGCAGCAGTACCACGTAAACCAAGAGCACAGCTGGCAGAAAAACTGAGAAGAAACATGAGCACGGGAAAGCTTTGCTGCCTTCTGCCGGAAAAGCCAGCCAGTGAAACACTGCCAAAGCCATGGGAAAGGCAAGGACCTGCGTGGCGCAGCGACACTGCCTTAAGAGCCGAGGCCCAGCAGCCTATGGTAACTGCGGGTTACATCTGTTCATGACCGGGAGTGACACATTCTGCTGTATTTTCAGGCTCCTGCATTTGACTTAAATCCCACTGCCCATTCATGAAAGACAAGTTTTTGCTGGTGGTCTTCCTAGAGGCCTGGAGTTCACTACCAGATTCTCCAGCCAACATTCCTCAAGGTGCCTCACAGACAACTATTTTGACTTTTTTTTACTGAGCCTGATTTGGACTGCTGCTCTTTTGCTTGTTTATTTATTTTTTGGTGGAACAGGGGATTGAACTCGGGCCCTCGTGCTTGCCAGGGAAGCACTTATTCTACTGAACCATCTCCCTGACTCCTTGTTTGTTTTAAAGGCAGGGTCTCACTACATAGCTCAGGCTAGCGTGGAGCTCACTTTGTAGCCCAGGCTGGCCTTGAACTCACCCTCCCCCAATTCTCCTGCCTCAGCCTCCCGAGTGTGGTGATTACAGGCATGTGCACCATGCCCAGCCTACTTCCTAAATGAAAATTAAGACAAACAGAACAGAAATTTTGAGATGGCATTATTAAATTTTAATTTAATATTTAAATTAATAAACTAGATTGCAGAAGAACAGGCAATCAAACACAAATAGAAGCATACAAAGCAAAAGCTTTAAACATAACTCGGCAGTTGAGGCAGTGTGTTAAACACCTGAGACTAGCTTGCTGCCTCTTCAAACATGCTTTAAAAACACTCCAATTTTCAAAAAGGAAAGCACTTCCTAAAGTGGAAAAACCTCACGCTGCCACTGGGAGAAAGGATTTCAAAGGCGGCCAGACCTCTGTCATTCTGTTAGGCACGCAAACATAAGTACAAAACAGGGGTTGGGCTGTACCTGGAGCTGGTGATAAAGCCACAAACCAGCCTGTCTTGGTTGGCTGTTTGTTTTTACGTATTTAGTACAGAGTCTACAGGGTCTCACTACACAGATCGGACTCGCAGTGATCCTCCCGTTTGCAGCCTCCCAACCACTGAGATTACAGGTGCGCACCACCACGCCCAGTCTCAATGTCCATCTCTGTGTGCCCCGGTTGGTGCTGGCACACACACCAGGGATGAACCCTGGTCCCTGCATCTGCCTAAGCAGGCGCTTTAGTCCGCTGAACTATCTAGCCTGTCCTTTTTAAATGTGAAAGAATACACTGCTTGTAGAGGTATGGCCTTATTGCAGAAGTGTGTAGGTGACTGCGTTTCTTGGGATTTGGGTGTATGTTCCATTAGAAACAATACTAACATGCGGTAGGATTGCTAGTTGGGAAGGAGCCCTGTGAAGCATAGCAGCAGTCCTATGTTCAGACCTGGAACTAGGTCAGCAACACGCTGGTGCCTGCTCCTTACCCCACTCCTTACCTGTGCCCTTCCCGCCCTGTGGCCACAGCTGCAGGTCTCCAGTGTGGAGCAAGGGCAGCCACGGGACAGCACCCTGCGGCCACCCACCCACGACCGCACACATGCATGGCTGTCTACACCACTCACCCACGCTAAGTCCCATCCTGTCCAGCCCACAAGAGCTGCCTAGGGCTGGGACTCACCACCCATCTGGCCTCCTTCTGGGTTTCCAGTCCCTGTGCCAGCGAGTAGAGCTTCAGATCGGCCACTGCCGAAAGCAAGGCTTGGGCAAGTCGGGGCGTCCAGATCTGCACCAGGTACAGGGAGAGGAAGAGAGGAACTGATCAGGATCTAGGCGGAGACGCCCACATCAGCCAGCGACCTGACCCCCTACGGAGAGCCTCACACAGTAAGAGGTACAGCGTGCTCTGCAAAAGCCAACGCTGCTCTGTGAAGTTACACTCATTTCCCGGGGACGCAATGACGGCAGTTTTCTGTTCTCGTTGTTTTCACATACACACATATACACGCACACATCTACCCTAATGCATGTTCATCAAGTCTTTGGGACTAGGGAGGTAGCTCGGCGGTCTAAGCGCCTGCCTGGCAAGGACAAGGACCTGGGTTTGATTCCTAGTATCACACAGCGTGGGCGTGGGGGCCAACAAAGCTGGGCGTGGTGGTGCATGCATGTAATCCCAGTGCTGGGGAGGCTGAGACAGGAGAATCACTATGAATCTGAGCTCTGTAGCGAAACCCTATACCAAATAAATAAATAAATAAATAAAGACTACTTAAAACTTTTTTTTTTTTTTTTTTTTGCAATACTGTGGACTGAATTCAAGGTCCCTGCACTGAGCTCCAACTCCAGCAATTCTTTTTTTTTGAGACCAGCTCTCACAAAGTCACTAAACTGCCCAGGTGTGGCTTGAGATCGGGTTCTTCCTGCCTGCTTCCCACAGTACAACATTACAGGTATTTGCCACCATGCCTGTAAGTCTATACTTTAATTTAAATATCCAGCAAACCACTTTATTGAGTTGACTCATTTATATTTACTGTTGAATAGTAGCACATACCTGCCACCTCATCTACTCAGGGGACTCAGGCAGGAAGGTGGCAAAGGCCCGTCCATCTTAGGCAACACAGCAAGTCTCCGCCACTGAAGGAAACAAGCAGTGCTGGTGCTCTGGCTCAGTGGTGGAACACCTGCCCGGCAGCCACAAAGCCCCTGGCTTCACGGGTACCAATGAAACATACACCTGCTTCATCGGCATGCGCCACAGACCCCTGGAACCAAACGCTTTCAGTCCAGGCCAGTTCCATGCTGAGCATGGTCCTGCTGAGGGGGACTGAGCGGACTATTTTATCCAGTTGTGTGGACAGGATGCAGCACACAGAGAACGGAAATCACTTCTCCAAGACTGCAGGGCTGCTGAGCTTGGAGCTCACCACAGCGGGAGGCCTTGCAGATGGCAGCAGCCTGTGCAACCACCAGGCGCATGGAGGGCTCGCTGCCTGAAGATCTACCCGCAGCTGCCCTGCAGGCCTGGTACAGGCGACCTTGGGCAGGAAACGTGGAGAGCAGCTCGTGGAGCACTGCCTTGCTCTGCATTCCATCCACAGCCCAGACGGCAACAGCAAAACCCCTGAACTGAAGAATGAAGGCCAGACAACCAACTCACATCAGTGTCCTTGAGAGCTTGCAGCACAAGGAAATCTGGCTTCTTCAAAAGGTGTGTCTAAAATCATCCAGTGAATTTGTCCTTTTGGCTTAATGGACTTGATTATATAAATGCTGCTGCACATCCTGCTGTGGGCGGCTCCTGACACTGGGCTCTCTAGGCCCATCTCCTCACCCGGCAGGGCCTCTCTCGGCCCCAGTGGCCTCTCCCCACTCTGTGGCCAACCTTATATCCCCAGCTCCTGGGCGGGCCCCTCTGTTGCTAGTGAGCATCCTGTGGGCTCAGTTTCCCAACTGTGTCTAGAGGACTTGTCTGTGACTGAGCTGACCAACAGAGGGGTCAGCTGGACAGGGAAGCCTGGAATAAGGTCCTTGCTGTTCCCAGGACCCTGCTAGAGGCCTGAGCTGTGGGGGGGGGGGGACTTAGGTCCTGGGGTGCAGGTTAGGAGCTGTGGGGCCCTGGTCCATTCTGGCCACATCCCTAATGCAGTGAGGGCAGCTCCCTGGGCCAGTGTCTGCCTTGGCTGGCCCAAAACTCCAGGACTGACTGCCCGGCCCTCCTTTTTGCTCCTTTACTGCAAGGGAAAGCCAGCCAGTAGCTGTCATGCACAGATCTTGAAAAGGAATTTTTTTTTTTTTTTAGTACTGGGGATCAAACTCAGGACCTTGCGCTTGTCAGGCAGGTGCGTATGTCACTGAGCTATCTCCCCAGGCTATGAAAAGATTTTTAACCGGACAGAAAAATCAGTGACACGTTGAACTCTCAGTCATGAACAATCTGAGGGATTTAAGGCAGCGTGGTTTTTTAGGCTGCAAGAAGGACCTGACCAAAATTAAATAAAAACTGCACAAAGCTTCAGGACAGGAACAGGAAATGGGAGTGAGGTAAACCTGGCACACAGCTTCTGGCTCACACGCTGGGCCTGACGACCTGAGCACAGGGGGTGCCATCGGGTCCCTGGACCACCTCACTCACCTGACAGCTCTGACACCAGCCACGGGTTGTTTTAAAAATTTCAGAACAGCCAAACGAAAAGTTAAAACTGACCTTGTGTGACTTAATACTGTGTACCTGGCATAAATATCTCAACATCTGAATGGATTTAGAAATAGAAGCACCTTACTCTTTTGATACTAGCCTACTGACGACTCGGTCCTGCTGCTACATGGCACGGGTCCTTCCAGAGTTCCGTTCTTGTCAAGTTAACTTTTTCTGAGGCTTAATTTCAACGCTAAATCCTGCGTGGCTCGGTGTCTCTCTCTCTCTGTCTCTCTGCAAAAGCCCAGGAAGCCGCAGCAACACGCACCTTCCGCCCGCTGGCTGCCTCGCCCTTGCGAAGGAGCCCGCAGCCTTACTCCGGGTACTCCTCCAACAACTCACCAGCAGCCGAGCACTGTCCTTCCCCAGCAGGTGCAGGATCTTGTAGATGCTCGCAAAGAGCAAGGGGTAGGTGTAACCCCTCAGTCCTTCCGTCCACTCCCACGTCAAGTAGCCATAATTAGGGGCGTTAAGGCGCAAACGGCACAGGCTTCCCGCGGCGCCAGCGCCGGCACTTAGGCGGGCCCGCGTCCGGCGCTCGGCGGAAAGGATATCCGAAGACCAGGCGGTGTGCGACCTCCAGGCTCTGCCAGTGCTCGTCCGGCACGAAGCTCGTGCGCACCAGGGCGCAGTTGAGCGCGCGCAGCGCGACGACCCCCGCGGCCAGGCGGGCGTCCGCGCCCCGCAGGCCTGGAAGAGAGGGCGGGTCGGTCGGCCTCCGCGGCCCAGCGGAGACGCCGCGCACCAGAGCCCGCCCGACCCGAGCG